ATTTATTGTCTGTTACGCAAGGAGGATACATTAACCATCGACTTAGATATTTTTAGAAAGCATTTGACAAGGTGTCCATTGAAAGGCTTACTAAAATTGTTTCTGTAGATAAGAGGGATAGGTTGATCATTGGGAAGAAAACTAGGCTGGATGTAAGAAAGCAGAGGGTTGTTACAAATGGAATTCAGTGAAACTGACTAATGTTACAAGTGTGGTACCGCAGGGCTCAGTTTTAGGACGTTTGTCGTTTTTGATTTACATCAGTGATATAGATGAAGGAATGGTCAATAAATTACTTAAATTTGTAGATAATATTAAGGTCTTGAGTGTTGCTAGCTGTAAAGAGGACGCTGCTGATTTACAAAAGGATTTATATCATTTAGTGAGTTGAGAAAATAAATGGCAGATGGGTTTTAATTATAATAAATGCAAGATAATGCATGTGAGTTATCTTAATTTGAATTATAATTATAATTTTGATAGGAATAACCTTAACAGTGTTTTGAAAGAAAGGGATCTTGGTATAATGGTTGATCAGTCTCTAAAACCATCCAAGCAGTGTGTTATTGCTAGTGGTATGGCAAATAGGATTTTAGGTTGTATCTACAGAAATATTGAATACAAGTCTAAGGAAGATATAATTTCATTGTATATGTCATTGGTTAGGCCACATTTGGAGTAATGTGTTCAGTCTTGGGCTCCTTACCTTAGGAAAGACATTGAATTGTTGGAAAGGGTTCAGAAAAGGGTTAGTAGAATGGTGCCTGAGATGCAGGGATTGTCATATGAGTAGAAGTTGAAATCTATCCAATTGTTTTCTCTTGAAAAAAGAAGAGTTAGATTGGATATCATTGAGGTGTTTATAATTGTTAAAGGAATTTATAGTATTGATGCATCGTCTTTTTCCTACTTAATGGTGAAAATGGTAGGACTAGGGGCAAGGGGCATAAGTATAAATTTTAACTGAGTAGGAGTCACCTTCAGCCAAGACAGTTTTATTTTTCTAAAAGGGTATTTGGTTTTTGAAATGGGTTACCTTGGGATGTTGTGGAAGCAGAAAATTTAAGTGAGTTTAAGGGAAGACTTGTTAGATATATGAATGATAAGAGTTGGCTTGGAGAGTTTTTGTTTTTTAGTAGTTTTTATTTTAGTAGATGAGACAGCCTAGATGGAACAATAGGTCTTTTGTTGTCTCTAAATATTATGTTATGTTTTTCTTTCAGTCTGGAACAGCTCTTCATGTAGTTATATATTTCTTCAAATCAATTCAGATTTTTAGTGAAGATGTGGCTCTTAGTGCACAAATACACATTCACTAACTCTGATTGTATTTTGCTTTATGTATAAATATTCTCCATTTTATTATGCATTGTGCCCAGTCTCTTTCATTCTTCAAACTCAGTCAGTCAGAGAATTAAAATTTGCTCTATGAAACATTTTCTGCTGAACTTCCTGTTATTCTGTTGATCCTACCCGATTACTCTTATGGATAATAATAATTACACCTGAAAATACCACCCTATTTACTAACAAAATTAATATAAAACACTCTTATTTACTAAATAAGAACTTCCAAGAAACCTAAACTTCTTAAAAGTACAAAGAGGAAACCAGATAAACTGTATAAAAATTTACTTTTCATCTAGTTTTAATAATATTCATGGTTTATCTTTTTATCTAAGCAGTAGTCCATTAATACACTAAGCATTTCAAAATACTTGATGTCTTAAACATATTTCTTCCAATCATATCGTTCATCCATCATATGTGGAGATGTCAGTATAAAGAGAGCAACCACATTTTTTTGAGATGCTTATGTGCAGGTCTGCAATTTGTAGCTCCCAGTATACCCGTACTTGCTGCTCTGCTGCTTACCTTTTGCCACATATGGTGGTTGCTTGGGATGTAATGGCACCTGCACATAGGTTTGATTAAAGTAAGGGAGGGTCGAGTAGAGTTTACCTCAATCTCTTGTCCTGGTCCACGTGACAAGTCTGGAGAAGAAAGAGGATGGAGTGAGTGGCCTGCAGTACCTACGTTCACATGTACTGATAGCCTAAGCATTCTATGAGGCTTGCTACGGTGCCTTCATAGACTGAAGAGTCAGAATGTCTGCTGGACCGTCTAATCTGTCACAGTAGACTTGACTTTGGTGGATGGGTGTGTCCCACGTGGGTGTAGTTGGTAAATCACAGAATGATTGTGCTCATCCATCTTTTGATGATATTTCCTCTATCAAGGGTTCCAATACCCTCCTCAGGTGCTCATCCGCCCGAAACGGTTGGAATTTCCTGAGGTTGTCAAAATAGATGATCACCACCCAGCTCTTCCAAATATACCTCATTAAGAACAAGATAAGGAAGAGCATTACTGTGTTTTTTCGCAATCGGCCTGATTAGCTCTAGTATTGAGAGAAACGCGTCGCCTGCAATAGGTATGTGAACACACTGTGGTTGAAATTGTATTATACACACTTCTTCTTCTCAGAAAAATCCAAAGAGAAAATAAATAAATGCAGTGTTTAAAAATACAATAAGCCTAATAGTATTGCCTTATGATAGATAAAATTTATTATAGTCACGCTTTGCCAGCAAAAGGCGTTCACGCCATAAGGAAGAACTACAGATAATTCTGATATCTATATTAAACATGATAGGGAGCCCATTTTCAAAAATACCTCTTATTTCAATTTTTTGTTGAATTAATGTTATAACATCCATTTTCATACAATGAAGTAAACTCTTATTGGCTTATATTTCTTTTATAATTTTCACGAATTTATCTATAAAGTATGGCAAAATGTTATTTAAAATTTTGAGAGATTTATTAAAGGACATATGATGTGAAACCCGAATACCTCATTATTAAAATTTTCTGCTTCACAATATAACTGGTGTTCTAATTTTAATTCTTGAACTGGGTTTTTTTGAAAGAGCTAGAGACTTATGAGATTTGTAAAATACTAAATACAATAAGTTGTATATAAAATATATTTTTACCTAAAATACCGAAAAGGTTTTTCGTTGTACAAAACTTGAAGATAGCTTTGATATACGGAAACATCTG